TAAAGGCGTAAACTACATTCTGGTCGCACATTCCACTACTTCCGCTACTATGTTGAGTCTCGCAACTCATTTACCTGATAGCAACGCCTGCTACTTCGACGTCCGTATAGGGCAACTACTGCTTATGCTTGGCCATTTCGGACGGTGTCTGGCTCCCGCATTTAATAAATATCGAGTCTCGTACACGCAAGCAAAATAAGAGTTCGGCTATATAAAAAGGTTTCGGTCCATCCATTGTGTCTAATCAACACGGCATTAGTAAAAATTTATATTCATACAGCAACAAATTCCTGTACAATTTCCGTCGCGGTATGCTAAGTCTTCTTTTGCTTTTCTCCCCTCTTCTATAGGATCTTAGTATCTACGTGAAACACCACCGAGGACATACCTGCGGCATCCACCTAGCAACGGAATCAACCTTGGCCATTGAAACCGTTAAAATTCTAAATCCTGACAAGCCAGAGAAATTCGAAATCTTAGTCTACTATATACGGGTCATCTGTGTCATCCTACTTCACCAGCTGCAATAAGTAGCGGTCGACTTATAAGAAGCCAACTATACAGCCAACGTAACTAAATTGGAGTGACATGACTGCGCGTAACTACGAGAAAAATCGGCCGGATGTAACCCTGTCAATCTCATACCGACGGTCGGAAGTGTACCAGGACGTGATGGGTTTCCGCCTGGAAACCTTTCTTCCTACAAAAGCCAAATTTCCTAGAAAGTAGAAGTCACAATTAAACTCCACACCATAATCTGCCTCGACGGGGAACCGAACGCCGGTCCTACGAATTTCCGGTCAAATGCTCTACTACTGAGCTACCGAGGATTGACGATTAGATGCGCAATTTAATACATGACTTCTGCTTGGTGCGCGACGTATTGCCAATGGGCTCACAGTATCTGTCCTGGTGTTACAGATTGGCTCACTCACTCCTCACTTCCCAATAGACCGAAGTAACTGTCCATCTGATATCCAAAAGGCGATGTTAGATTACTTGAAGGAGGTTTGTGAGTAGCGTAAGGTTCGTAGAAAGTAGAAGTCACAATTAAACTCCACACGATAATCTGCCTCGACGGGGAGTCGCACCTCGGTCACACGAATTTCCGGTCCGCTGCTCTACCACTGAGCTACCGAGGGTTGACGAGTAGGTGCGCAATTTAATGCATGACTTCTGCTTGGTGCGCGACGTATTGCCAATGAGCTCACAGTATAAGTCCCGTATTAAATTGCGCACCTACTCGTTAACCCTAGGTAGCTCAGTCGTTGAGCAGCGGACCGGAAATTCGTGGGACCGGAGTTCGCTTCCCCGTTGAGGCAGATTATTGTGTGGAGTTTAATTGTGACCTTACTTTCTACGAACCGTACGCTACTCACAAACATTCTTAAAGCAAAAATAAGCTAAAATGTCCGATTAACAAAATTGCAACCCAACGGTTGTTATTCGCCACTTAATAAAGCTACTGCGTAACCGGGCAGTGGCAAAATGAAAGTTAACACATTTCACTAGTCCTTTGCATATATCTGCTATCATCTGACCCAACCTAGACGTTTGATTAGCGAAATGCCACTACTCTTTAAAAGCTTTAACAAGTTGGTCCTCGTGGTTCATTTATCTGACCCACACTGTGTACACAACCTCGTCGGACCAGTTTCACACAAACCTATTTTACTGTAATCCTGTAATCCTTATCTTTACACTACGCACTTGGCGAGGATAACCTTACCTCAACCTTTGAGCTATATAGGCCAACACAACTGTCTCCATCAGTATTACCCTTGCTCTTGCGCCTGATCATTATGGTATTATGTACAAGGTTACAACATTCTGCTTACGCACAAAAGCGTGCTCACATTGTGGAGTATAAAGCTTAGTTATTTACTTAAATTCATTCCCATTGTTTGAGGTGAGGACACCGACAACGAAGCGTTTGGGGCTTCCTTAAGTAGAAGTTTTAATGCCATATTCGTAGAACCGTCCCTTTCCATAAAATTCACTCCATTTAATCTAGTCTGCCTTCTGTTTTCAGGATTGCATTGGACACCAGATTAAACCAGCCGTGGGCCAAAAATACCGCTAATGGGCAACCCAAAACAGGAAACAATAGATTTCAACATAATGAAATCACACGGAATCTCACCTAGCGATACCACAAGTTGTTACTACTACCTACCGCGCACTGGCACAATCACACACTCCGAGCCCACATGATTAAGCCTACCAAGGCCTGCCTCAAGCCTCGCAAGAATAAACTTATTTATTTATGTATGCTTATCTGGTAAAAGGTTAACAGGTACAAACTGCGGAAGTTTTACGTCGTAAATTTCAAACACTCCTTCTAGTGAATATTTGATCATGCCTTAGCTGATATGCCTTGATTTATTGAAAAATACCGTTTATTTAGTTAGGTGGTTCCAGGCACAATGAAAATCTGGATTTAGATGGCTTGCCCTTACCATGTGTTAACGGACGTTAGTATGCAATACTGATTAATACGCCATTAGTTCCAACTGTAGACACCCGGCCGTGAGTGCTTCGGTGTCGCGTCCAAGTGAAAAATTAAGTTGGTTACCATGACCAGTTGACTAGCAAATGATTAAATCGGAACCCTCAGAAAGTGTTATATCAGGACAATTTCGGGGATGTGCACTCGTTGGTTAGGGATTATTTCTGGGTGCACATAAATGTTGCGCTAGATTGTCTTCCAGAACGGGGTGAAGGACAGTAGCAGCAAAGAGCTTATGGATAGTCTGTGACTTAGCGGACCCCAGTCAGCGCAATTCGCTCCGGTGCCTCCGGCTTACTTTAATACACGTAACCGACAACCGCTCGGAATGAACGGCGTCGAAGAGTGCAAGCAATATCAGTTATTAAGAAGAATTGGCGCAGCACGATTATAGGACACAACTAGTAGCGTGTCGTGAAACTCACCATGGTAAGGTGGCTAGTTCAGTGTTACACAAGTGTTATACAACATCAGCCGATCGGATTCATTGCGGTCTGGGCTTGGGTAAAGTCACGCTTTGAGGACACAGGTTAACCCACATCAATCACCGAAGCCAAGCTGTTCCGGCCAAATAGCGCCTGTAGCACAGTGCATGGACTCAGCGATGGCACCAATCACAATTAACCTTACCGGGAGAATTCAAGCCAAATGTCACAGTCCCAAAAAGTTATGCCCTTCCTGCTTCTCAAAGGTTTTGTAGAAGTCCAGATCGCGGGCAAGAACATCCAGCAGTGGCCAGTGTACCACTCTGAAAGTAAGGGATTTCCGTCTGTTTATAAATAGGACACCACAACATTTCTGAAACGCCGTCACCTATGGCTCTTGGATCGTATAACATAATGCTTGCAACCCAGTGAATTATTACGCAACTTCGGCCTTTGTCAGATAGGGTCGGTTACGAGAAACGTGGCATGTTCTTATATCGATCTGGCCGTCTGGTAAGGCCAGGAACAGACAAACTCAGTAAGGGCCGAAAGGTCTAGGCATATCTCTAAGACGGAAGTAAGAAATTTGTCCTGTTTGTTCCTTATTCTGCGAACATTGGCATGCATATCTGCAGTCCACGTCCTAGACATAATCTTGCGCTCTGGGCAGGAAAAGCGTCAAATTACGTCGCGCGCTCGAATTATTCTGTGATACACAAAACACACAAAGGTGAAGGTTGTTTCATCGTTTATTACCATGTAACATATTATGGGCTCCCAGTTTAATTTTGGCACAGCGTCACGAGTAGATATTCCTCCGAATATGAATGCCAACCTAGAGCTTCGAAGTCCAATTGGATGTGCGGCGGTATTCTGCCACATTGACAGGCAATATTAAGGGGACCAAGCATGGAGTAATCCTGCATTGACCGAAGCTAAAAGCGTCAATGATATTGCTCTTTGGTTAGCCGTTAGCACACCATAGGTTGACCATGCGCTTTGCAGATGACCGCACGCGCGATATCCTCCGCTGGCTCTTGCCTGTGATATGCAGGCGCGGAAACGCGCAGCGTCACACACCGCATGCTAGGAGGATTGATCTTTCGAAAGTAGTCGGCTTCTGAGGTTAAAAATGCACCCATAGTATGTTTTCCAGCTGATTAAGTTTATCCATCAATTAATATTATATTTTTTATTTATTTATCCAGAATGTGTTGGGTTTCTTGGGAATTTTGGGAATCCAAGCCACCTTTAAAGTTAAAACTGCAAACGGCTGTTTCTGGAGCAGCCGTTTCGAGCGTCACGCAATGACGCAGTACTGTTGCATACGTTTACAACTATGGTTTACTTGGCATCAGTATTTCGGACAACTAGCCCAGAGGTGCCTCGACTACCGATAATGTTCGCAATCGCCAAGCTGGAGGCACTATATGAAGGGCGAATATCGGGCATTGTTTCTCCATGTGGTGACGGAAGTAAGTTAAACAACACCTAAAAATGCCTTTGATTCTCAGCCGCCTGGCACGGATGGCAAATGAAGCAGACAATCGTAGCTGGCCTCCGTTGAAAGATAGCGGGCAGGTCCGTGCGGCTAAGGTAACAGGCTGGATGCAGTGAAACGTAGCAGTACATGTAATGCACGGCCAACAAGTAAGTGGTCGTACCGCCATCAACAATGCTAAAATTGCTACCATTCGTTCGCTAATCTCTTCTGACCTCTGAAAATATACATAAGGAGCGCAAGCATGATGCTATCCGCAGATGCACCAGTAATTACCAGACTTATTATTACTTAACTATATTCTTCCTTTCCATCATGGTTCTTACAGTTCCAGTCATGTCTTAGTATTATAATAATTTATTTAACATTTTTATGTCTTCTAGTCATTCTACTTAATCCTTTATAGTAAACTGTACAGCGGGCTATTTGGGCGAGCATTCCAGCAATTATCCTTACAAATTTAAGGTAGATGCATCTAAAATATTAAACTATATTTAGTCGGTGTAAAAATGACAGAAAAGTTACATTTCGCTTAACATGCATCGGCTGCATGACCTTCAGATATGTAGAAAGTCTTGAAGGTCTTGCGTTGCTTTGGGGCATTGGGCTGTTCTGGTGCGCTTCATGGCATAAGGAGGTTGCTGATTCCTATTTCTTTAATTACTGTATACTAGGGGAATCTGTATGGTGCGCATCTGCTTGTGGAGATTTTAAAAACGCAGATACACCGGTGCTTGTGCATCGGCATGTCTCTTGAGCTTATTAGGGGGAATTCCGTCATTCAATATGATTCTTCTTTTACGGACTGCGTGCTCATTCATTTTCGACTTACGGATTCAGCCTTGCGAGATTTGGAAGAGTTAGCCTTCTCACAAGCAAGTTCGCTATTTGTTTTAACACGGAGTGCAGGGTGGTACATTCAGGTTGACTGTATCGAGCGGTAACAAGGTATTCGTAACCTTCCTTAATATTTGCTGTTCAGTCTTTCATTGTACCACATCCGAAGTGTCCAAAAAAATTTACCTTTACATCCTCTGGCGTGAAAGGCACTACGGACGGTTCCCTCGACTGCCTTCGATTATTGAAGTTTGTTTTGTCCGTAATTGATATTTCATATTTTACAGCGGTACCGTTCACCACCTTGGAAAAATTAGTTCCAGATACACGGTAAACGCTAAAGAAGATAGCTTTTCCATGGCCAAGGAGCGCATGGTACAGCTAGGAGACGTGAACCGCAAACAAAAGACAAGGGAGCTTGGCACATGCAAAAGGAAGTCACGTAGCTCTGGCTTTCCTGGCGTCCACAACTCCGGCGCAGGATTTGCTTCTGAACAACTTTCTAACTCGTCACGTGGCATGGGTATTGTCCATCAGACCGATTCTCCTAGTTTGTCTCAGGTCCACTCAGACGTTTCCGAGGCCAAACACAGTTCTTTATTGCCCAACCCTTCCTTACATCATAAGACGCTCAGGTTTGTGATCGTAATCTACATTACTTCCTTGACCAAAGTATTTACTGGTGTTGATATTCGTTCGACTTCACTAACTTGGCTTTTGTTGGTCCAGTCAACATACTGCTCTGCTACACTTCATTCCTCCATGTCACTTCACGCTGTATCTGAATGAAACTGGAGCATAAGTTTTAAATGCCTTATGTGCCATAGTCTTCCTTCACCCCAAGCGAAGTCCTTCCATTGTATGGTTGCCGCTTCTTTTTTTAGACTTTCTCAATCATCCCTTCTGTTTGCTTGCCACTTGGCCATTGCATGCTATCGTTCACATTTGAGGACATCAACCTAAGCAGTTGGATTCGACGCGCTATTGACCTAAGCATTTCTGAGGAACGGAGTTTAGTGGCAGCCCGGATAGCGATTCCAGAAAACACATCGTGTTGTAGGGAAACTTATTTGTACAGCAAAAGCTTCCTTGTGCCTAGCTAAAACTTCAACTGCAACTGAAACAGTAGCAAATTACCGTGTATTTTCCTACGCAAAAGATTCGTTAATCCAAACTATTTAATGACGGAATATTGGCAGTTTTGGAGAGCCAGAGGAAGGCGCGAATCACACCAATTACTACCCACGTGACCTGCACTGGCGGTCCTTGCTGAGAAGGCCACGTGGTGAGAGTAACAATACGGGTTAATAAAGAGGCGAAGATAGTCTGAAATATAAAAGTACTACCAAGAAGAATGACATTAATGAACGCTGCTAACTTGGGGAAACGCACAATGCGCAGCACACTGGAGCGATCGCACGTTGCAATCGAAGCGAGCGCCAAGCAAAATGGCGATGCCCGTATATATATATATATATGTATATATATATATGTATATATATATATACATATATATATATATATATGTACACGCCCTATGCTGAGGCTGATGTTGCATTCATGATCAATCAATCAATCAACAATAGCAGTACATCAGTCATTTGAACTCATGCTTCGTTGCCTTGCAACCATGAGGACCTATGAAATAAAGAATAAAAAGAGGAAGAGGAGGACTTACCTGAAGAACTTAATACCCTAAGCAAACATTCATGGTCAAGTCGCCTACACCTTGTGTAGACAACATATCGTCGCAAACAGCCGTCTATCGTGCAAAGATAATACGGCATCGACGCGCGAGCTTCCTTGCGGCTTTCACTGCCACGCGTCATAATCAGCTTTTACCTCGTAGATAACTCAGCACCAAACACTTCAAACAGTCAATCCGACTAAGAGATGGCAACAGACCCGCCACTGGTGTCGACTGCGAGCCATATCCTGTAGTCTCGAGCTAAGCACAAGGTGAGTCAAGTCGACTCCAGCTCGGAAGGCGAGACGGACCAACGGCACCAAGTTTGGTCGTCAGTGACTTCATTTTCTGCTGCCAAGTCAATTTCTGTCCACCTCTAGCTTTGCGCCGCCCTACACCTGGCAGAATGAACAAGGCCCTTCTAGGTGAGCGGTGACAAGGCATACGTAGCACGTGCCCGAGCCAACGCAACTTATGCAGTGCTATCTGTTGTTTTAGGAAGCTAGCATGATTATCACTACCTAAAACTCGCCTACCTACATCATGGTTGCGGACACGCTGGTGCCATCTGACTCCAGCGGTGCTTCGCAAACAACGATGATCAAAGACTTGAAGCCGCCTCAGGTCTTCAGACCGAAGGGGCCAAGTCTCCCTACCATAGAGCAGAACGGCCCTTACTGTGACCTTGTATACACGGCCTTTCAGACGAAGGGAAACTCCCTTCTGTCGCCAAAGATGCCGCAGGTTCAATAAGGTAGCTCTGGCTTTTGAAATGCCTAAAGCTGGCGTCAGTTTCTATGCGCCCATCATTTCTGATGTAGCTGCGAAGATAAGTGAAATGATCAATCACCTCGAGTTCCTCGTTAGCAAGCGTCAAGGGGTTATCAAGTGGCTAGTTGTCCTGCAGCAACAGTTTACACTTTGAAGGTGCGATGTACATACCAAATAATGGGACCACTCTAGACAGACTATTCAGGGTTGATTGTGCAGTCGAAAGGCAAGACGATATCGTCCGCATAATCTAGATCAACTAACCTTTCACCAGGCAGCACTTCAACGCGTACATCATGAGATTCCGCAAGGGAACACCATGGTAGAATCTACGAAAAAATTGAGCAAAAATGGGGAAATCGGACAACCGTGACGAACGCCACTTGTGGCCGGAAAGCTATCCGATAGGCCACCGTAGACCCTGACGCGGCCTGTAATGTTCGAGTAGAGAGCACGAAGGATGTTCTCATATCTCGTGGATACACCTTTCCGCGCAAGTATTGCGAACAGAATCGATCGATTGACTGAATCGAATGCACACTTGAAATCGAGGAACACAGCAATTTTCGTTCTGCGGTATGCGTGGCGCTGCTCTAGCAACTGCCGCAAAGTGAATATATGGTCTATACAGCCACGCCCTGTGCGGGAACCTGCCTGTTCTTCCGTTATCCGAGATTCCCGTTCCGCAGTGAGGCGACGAACGATAATCGAGGCCAATAATTTTGTCACAACTGGCGTTAGGCTAATACCCCTGGAGTTAGAACAGTCTGTGCGACTGCCCTTGTATATTGTTACCATAATCGTTTCGCTCCAGTTAGCCAGGACCTTCTTTTTCTTCCATATAGGTTCGAATAGGGAGGACAATGTTTTGCAGAGGACCTTACCTCCATCCTTAAATAGTGCAGATAGGAGTGAATCCGAACCAGCGGCACGAAAACGGTTGAGGGCTGTGATCGCGTTTCGGACCACGGCCTCCGACAGAGGCTCTAAACTAACCGTCCATGGCTCGTCCTGCATCACCTGAGTAGGAAGAGGTCCGGGAGCAGGGGGCCAGCTGAACTGATCTTGAAAGTCTTCCGCCCAACGTTGTGTGTCAGCGCACCCGCGCTGTCTCTGCTTGTCTCACTGACGCATAGTTTTCTGGGACCAGTGGTGCGGATTAGCTAGACGAGCTTCCGGTAATTGCCTACTGCTCCTGCCTCCTCCATTTCTTGAGCCCGACTGGTCCACCAGGCTTTCTTGTCGGCACGTAGGCTTTGCTTTAGTTCACGCCTAATAGCCCGTCTGGTCACATTGTGTTCAGAGCCAGCCGGGAGGTGTATTCTAGATTCCAACAGGTCCACCGACCTCTCGGATATCCAGTGACTGGTGCAGTGACCATTGATAATGCCACAAGCAGATGCTCTTGCGTCGTACATGGCGGCCGAGATCCTATTCCACTGAAGCTCAGCGTCATTAGAACAAGACAGCGGAAGATCGGTATGCAGTGCGTCTTGATAGGCTTGCCTGACCGAGGGCTGGGACAATTTCTTCTTTGCCAATCGTAGGGGACGGTTGGTGCGCCTTCCGGTAAAGTTCATGGAGAAACGACAGCGTACCAAGGCATGATCAGAGTCGACACAGGTACCTTAGTACGAGCGGCAATCCAGGATGAAACCACGCCGCCTGTAATTAATGGTTATGTGGTCAATTTGGGTCCATCGCTGGCCAGCTACAAGAGGACGCCAAGTGGCACTTCGGCGGCCACTATGTCTAAAAGCAGTGCTAGTAAGAAACAACTGGTGCTCCGCACACAGTTGCAGCAGACGCTCACCGTTGTCAGTCCTTTCGGAGTTAAGCCCATAGTCACCTTCTGAAGAGATCAGACGGTTTACTTGTGCGTTCATATCTTCTGCAAGTATTATGGCATCTGAACTAGTTGCACTACATAGTAGCAGGTTCAGTTCGTGATAGAATGTGTCCTTGACAGCATTTGAACTGCAGTCGGTGGGAGCATGAGCGGAACTAACAAACAAACAGCATTTTTTACTACTTCGTGAATCAACATTAGTTGTGGTCATCCAACGGTCTGCACCCAAACGGCTGTTCACCTGAATCCAATCAACTAACGGTGGCACAGCCTTGGAGCTTAAAATGATACCTACACCAGCTTGACCCGTGAGTGCTGCATCGGCGTCTCCGGTTGCGTGCAGCTAATAACTAGAGGATAAGCGGGTGCAGTTACTTCAATAACCCCGTTAGGGTCATTGATCGTAGACTGCTTAGCAATCTTGAAGTCGTGTTTTTCTTGGGCAACAGACATCAATTACAAGAGTATCCAGCATGCATGTCAGTCCAGCTTGCTGCTTGATCTGCAGCAATGTGCGCACGTTAAATGTTGCCAGTATGAACTGCATTCCAGGTTGCAGTAACCAAGATGACAGGCTTCGGGACTGGCAGCTCCTTGTCGAGGCCTGTGTGGTTGAGGTAACTGGTGATAAAATAATTACTTCATTAGTGGAGCTAGGGTTATTCACCGTTGAAAAATCAAGTAACAGTGGGGGGCAAAGGATAGAAGGGAAGAGTAGGTAAATTATTGGCGTGTTTTTATATTGGTGCAATACAAGGATCGGGGTCCATCAAAAGATCGAGAGAGAGCTTATTTGTATGAATTAGTGGTTCTTCAGTAGGCAAAATACTACCCGGTTGCTTAGGCCGAAGTAGGTAGTTTGTGTTAGGAAACCACCACTCTGAGGCTTTGACCAAAAAGCTTAACCCACAACACAGCAGTGCAGGGTACGGGTTTCACATTCGTTGGGAGCCGGTGACTGATTGCTCAGCTCATACTCCTTTCGGATGGTGAAAATCTAGACCACGTGCCCATCAATTCCGAAGTCAGCGACGGTATCCGATGCTCGGGTTGCTTGCCGGTGTACAGTGTCTCCTTGGAGAACAGGGTGCCATCATCATTATGCACGTTAGCTAGAGGTGTAAAACACCTCAGCTACTGTGCCGCAATACACAAAGGAACAGGAAAATACATACAACTGTTGCATGCCAGCTGAGCTACCAGCAACGGATAGGCATCGTTCCGGTAAGCTACCAGCCGGCTACTAAACAAAGAGAAAAATTATTATGTTTTACGCTACGAAATGAGATCGTAGGTGGAGTGGGGGCTAAAAAGGATGAGAAGGGACA